GAAACTGCATTTGGGTTTTTACACTAAACACAGACCACAAACTGACATCTGCGGCCGGCCCTCGGGCCGCGTTTCAGGATAAGCAGTTTATCTTGAAACACACAAGTTGCCTCAAACGGACCCTAAGTCATTCCAAAATTTATCTTTAGACTCTGTATCTAAACCTACTTGAGGAGCATAAACACTTATAATATTAAAAATCTTAGTATCAATGATAATCTTAAGGGCTATAATTCTATCACCAACTCTATTAATTTTTACAACATTATCTTTCAAACTCTTATCTATAATTACACCTACACCATTTCTAGTGCGACTCTTACCAGAATACCAAAGTTTAAAACCTAAATTATCAATCTCCTTAGCCTTTTCTCCAACCCACTTAGTTTCTTGAATACATAAGATATTAATTTTCCTATGAATCATAATATCAACTAATTCCATTAATTTATCATTGAGAGTGTCTATATTCCAAGATCATATCCTAATAATAGTTTCATTAATTTCATGGACTAACTTCTTTACCCGCATTCGCCCGTAATATGGGAACATTTTCTTATTTAACACTACACCCGGGCGCCGGTGTAGCGACTCTTGCACACTTTTCACTGTATTCAGGCTATACAGTACGTCGCTTCCAGGGGACGCCCTAGCACTTACACAATGATCAAAAGAATTCATGTCATGATTTTTTCGATAAGTTTTACGCTGGCTGTCGACTACCTAACGCAACCCTCCACTTTTCTCATCCGGGCTTGGGACCGGCAACGGCAGTGTGTAAGTGTATACAATTGCAAAGGAAAAATATATTCTTTTCATATTCACAACTCAAACAAACATAAACACACACACACACACACAGTAGTTTATTAACCTTCATATTTTTGTTACTGTTTAACAATGATGTTTTTCATTTTGTTAGCAATTGATCTGAAGGTAGGTAGTATTTATTATATATAACATACTATATCTAGAACCTATACTTCAATTTTTACAAACATACCAACCTTGGATGTGCATGAAAAGGTGCATTTCACTTTTTAAAAGTTAAAACGGTGAACTTGTTGATGTGATGTGAAAGATTTGGGTGCAATAGATATGAAAATTAAAGCTCAGGTGTTACATATGTAAATACATAAGAATTGGGTGGTATGTATGTAAATGCCCCTAAAAATTAATATGATGAATATAAAAGGTATTGACACAATTAACACGTCAGCTTGAATCATTGATGAAGTCCCAAGTCAACATATGGTTAAGCCAGATTTTTTTCCGATCGCACCTCATTCTAAGTTCTATATTCATTCAACGGCGAAGCCTCAAGTCCGGTAGAATTAAAGAAAGTCCCTGCTTTCCAATCTTCAGAGGCAATTATGCCCTTTTTGGTAAGAAACAATAGTATTCAAATTAGGGGAAGTTACATAGATAGCACATATTTCAAATGTATTTACATATCGAACACCTAAGTTTGATATTTGTATTCATAACACTTGGATGTTATAAACCCATGCATGAAAAATGTGTATTCGAAGATTGGGCACCAGAAATTACCTTCATCATCACTAACATCAAGATCATCATCACCGTCCATTCCCCTCATATTACCGAATTTCTGTAAAAAAATTAGGACACAAGCATTAACAATTGCAAACATCAAAACTTAGCAAAAAATTTAAAATAAGAAAGAAAATTTTAAATTACCGAGAAGTCCATTCCTCCAAAGTCATCAGCATTAGGGCCTGTGTCAAAAATACAAGGTTAGGCTCCTCAAAAAGACTAATAACATACCAAATTAGACATGTCAAAGCGTAGAGGAACAATTTTGTGAATATCAAATACAAACATAAAAATGTTACGAAAAAATGCCATAAATTTAGTAGCGCCTAGAAAAATACTGAAAACAAAGTAGTCTACAGAACTGCCGAAGGATCAACATTGTGGAAAATGCAATTAAGATTTCTATTCATGGAAGAAAAATGTCTACAGATCTGCCAAAGGATCAACATTGTGGCAAATGCAATTAAGATTTTCTATTCATGGAAGAAAAAGAAAACATCTATGATATGACATTTTACTTTCAAAAGGGAAAGAAAAAAATATTCAGCTAAGTCAAAATGGAGCACTTCTACTGTTACAAAGTTCATCAATTGGGGTGTAAACAAGTCAAGTTGAGTTCGTGTCACCATCGGCTTGAGCTTGATTAATTTATCGAGCTCGAGGATGAGCTTACTTTTACAAGTTGGAGTCTGCTCACGAGCCAGCTTGTTTAATATTAAAAAGAGAAAATAATATAAATTCAAATTAGTGTTATAACAAAATAACAAATAGAATGAGTAATTAAGAGAAAAATAATACAAAACCACTCAATATAAAATACAAAATATCATTTTGTTAATATTTTAATAATTTATAGATAAAATTTTAAATTTTAGTATACTTTGAGCATATTTTATATCAATTAGTCTTTAAAAAAGACTGCACACAAGCTAACGAATCAAGTTGGGGCTAGCTTGTGCTTGGCTTGTAAGCTCATCAAGCTCATTCACAAGCCACTTATCGAGCGAGCCCGAGTCAAATCACGAGTCAGCTTGGCTCACACTCACATCATCATCACAGAAAAATATTTGATCAATAACCAATAAATATGCAAACATAATTGTGGTTATATGAGAATAAACTCAGCAGTACTTTAATGTGCTCCAAAAGACTTCAAAGTTCTTCCCCTACAGCTTATGCATAATTCATGTCTTCAGACAATTCAATTATTAAAAGATTATTCTTTAGGGTCATTTACATACATAGCACACAATTCTTATGTATTTACATATCTCATGCTTAAAATTTGATACTTACACATGTAGTACTTAAAATCTTTGATATCACACTAAAAACAGCACTATTATCACTTTTTAAAAGTGGAATACACTTTTTCATGCATAGGTTTAAAGCACCAAAGTGCTATGAATGTAAATATGAATGTTTAGGTGTGATATATGTGAACACATAAAAATTGTATGCCATGTATATAAAAATAAACAGAAGTAAAGAACAAACCATCATCCTCATCTTCCTCTGCCCATCTATCCCAGTCAACTTTAATGTAGTGAGGTAGCTTTCCATCACCACGCAATAGCTTCTTCCACCACCCTTTCTCAGCTTTTTCTATAACACAGAAGATGCTCCTAACGCCAGTGTTTAGTTTGCTTGCCTACAGAAAAAACGAATTTTGGTCGAAAAAACAAGATGCATTTGAAAGTGTCGATGATAGTGTCCGTGCATGACATTAACCTTACCTCAACGTTTACTTTATCAAATAGCTCCAATTTGACCTCATACAAGATATTGTCTGAACCAGTGATGCCAGAGAAAGTGAAAACACCATCTGGATCAAGATTAATCTGAACATTCTTTGCATCAGCTAAGAGAATAGTAAGGTAGATCTTGTCGGACCTTTGTGCCCACTTGACTTCGGGATGACGACTACAAAAATAGGATACGTGATATTAAATTAAAAGAGAAAACATCCAACGGATATTTCTGAGCATTTTATTTATGCCAAGCTGAATAAAATATGATAATAATAAAGCAATAAAAAAAATTTTAACTGATGGCATTTGCGAGAAAATGCATGCTCTAGAAAGATGAATCTACCAAATTCAAGTATAAAACATATATGTAATTTCAGATAAAAAGGATGAATCTACCAAATTCAAGAATAAAATATCAATGTAATTTCAGATAAAAAGACTTGTGTATGCAGCTGTATTACTGGACATTTAAAAATTTCAGGACCTACATAACATATGACCAACTCTTTACACAAAATAATGAAATAATCATTGTCAATGAATTATTGATGATTGTTGATTCCCAAAAAGGCATTGTCATAAACAAATTTATTTCAAAAATATCCAAATGCCTAAATTACTCACCAATCTATCAATCTAAAAATTAACAATAGATTCTATAGGTATTTTTGCATTTTACCCTTTACATTGTGTATTTCAAGAACATGGCACAAGGAAAACAATTTGGCATCCTAAAGAAAGAGTCACTACTATCTTAATATATTCAAGAACCAATGAAGCTTCATACTACACATTGTATTATCTTTCCTTTCTGGAATCTTTAACTCGAATAAAGATGAATATGTCCATCACCTATGACATAGCCAAACTTATTTTATTACTCTTAAAATTATTTATTTTATTATTAAAAATATTAATATTGAAGAACTTCATAGTGATATTTATAAGTTAACAAAACACAAGCATACAACTTTTCTAAGTAGCACAAACCCAAAGTCGTTTTCTTGCATTCATAGTGATACATGACGACCATCTTCTACAACTAACATATTTCGAGCTTGATGCTTTGTCATTTATTAATGACTACACCAGTGTATCATTTGTACTAAAAAGCCATAAGTGATGTATCATTTTCACCACTTCTTGAACATGATCAAAATAAATTCAAAGTTGTATTACAATAGACGAATTTGATAATGCCTTAAAACTTTTTAAAAACATTCTCTTCACTCATAATTTCAAGAAAAAGTAACCCTAGAGTTGTGTCGACCAATATGCATACACCTCAACAAAATGGGGTGATTAAGGGCTCGTTTGGGGCCGCTTTTTTCGTGTAGCGCGGCCACAAACCGCAACGCGTTCGAAGTTTTCAGCATTTGAATTAAGCGTTCGCGGCGGGCGGCTGCAAATTAGGCGGCTGCAAATTTAACAGAACACGGGGTCACGGAATCGACCCCGCGGCTCGCGTTACTGATCCAGAAATTCCAATATTTGCCTTGCAAAACCGTTGCTACCCTAGCGAAGCTGAAGGAGGTTTTTGCCCTATCGTCTCGACTTGCGAAGCTGAAGGAGGTTTCTGCCCTAGCATCTCGACTCGCGAAGACCCCCTGCTCCCGAACGCATTGCGATTCGACGCTCCCCCTCATTGCGATTCGACGATCCCCTTCGAAGCATCAAGCCCCCTCGTGAAGCCCCATGCTCCCTGCGCTCCTTCCACCGTCGCTCGAAGCACCGAGCCTCCCCTTCTAGTTCTAGTTACATTTCACGAGCCTCCCCTTCTAGATCAAGTTACGCTTCACTCCCATTCACCTCCACCATCGTTTGAAGCACCGGGCGCTCCTTCCACCTTCTCTTTAACTTGTTATGGTGTTTAAGGCTTGATTGATGTTGCACACTTCACAGAGGAAATAGATACTGTAGATCCTGTTTGGAAGGATTCAACTTAAAACTATGCAGATTGAGAAATCACATACCCTTCGATCACTCGAGAGTAGAGCTCCGAAATGATTGGGGCTATGTTTCATGAGTTCCTTCATTAATTTTCTTCCTTTCGACAATTAATCTAACTTTCAGCATCTCGACTCCCTTCATTAATCTAACTTTCAGCACTATGCTTTGTGATGGCGTCTTAAAAGCTATTGTTTCATGAGTTCTGAACTGATTGTGGCTCCAAAATTTTAATATTTGATGGGACAATTCAACATAAGCAGAGTTTACTTGAACATCAAAAAAAACTTTGCAGCAATCCTTCTCCAATATATATGTCGGCTTCTAATTTCACCTGAGAAATATATACGAAAAGAAGTGAATAAACTTCATGGTCTTGAACCATCTCCAACACAATTCTAATCTTTTCCATATTACAATTAAGTTTCATATGTTTTTTGCTTAAAGTTAACTCAAAATATTTACTCTGCAAAATTATCTTTACATTCCTATAAAACTTTAATTGAAAAAGTGATTCACCTTCAGCAAATGTAGCATTAAAAGCGTGGCATTTTTGTTCCTGTCTTCCTTTAGGTTCTTCTGAATTTTCTTCCTTTCGACAACTTTGTGTTCCTGTTTCTGCTTGTTTGTTGGTGGAGAAGATGTGATGGACATAAAATTTTCTCTATTTGTTGTTAAGTTGATTGATAATTGTTTATTCTATCAGGTTAATTCAATGTTCTTATAAGGGGGTAACAGATTAGCAGTTATTTTGTTTGTTTACTTGTATAATTTTGGAAGGGGCATTTACATATAAATCACCCAGTTCGTATGTATTTTTAATTACCTAATTTTTTTCACATAAAAAATTGCTATTTGACTGATAAAACATAAAATGCACATTTTTATGATGGCATATTTTTATAAAAAAATTCCTATGTCTTCACTACAAGCAATATCTTACAGTTCTTCACCGCTCAACCTTTAATAACAAAATTTTTAAAAGAATTTAATTACTTGATGTGCATTCCACTATTTATCATTGTTAAAATAATTGACTAATATTTTGTTGCATTTAAGAAAGATGAGCTCCAGAAATTCAGGGACATCCAGAAGATTGTTATGCTACTGCATACTAGTGACTTCCTTTCTGATGTCACGGCAGGCCCACAACTACAGTCGACACTTTTACAGATGCCCCCGGAGACTCGCAGAATAATGTGACTTCTTCCGCTGGGCTGACAGTCGGGTCAATTCCACTGCTGGAAGTGATCGCGAACTAATAGCATCATTAGAGGAAGATTTAGGAAGAGATGTTCATAGCCTTCATGTTAAAGAAATATCATTATTAGTTTACTTGTATTTTTTTTTTTCTGAGCACTTTTGATACTCACTATTAAGTGAGTGGTGTATTCGTACTCTTGTTATGTTTAAAAATGAATTTTTGCTTCTAAAATATCAAATATGTTATCATAGTTCTGCCTTAAACAACTTAACTAAACAGGGATAAAATGATCATTTTTTTCAAAAATAGTTGTCCCACAGTTGTTTTCATACCGCTGCAACAAACAGGCAATCTGCTTCCCCAATGCAGTTTTCCCACAATAACAACTGCAACTGAAAAACAGAGAAGCTGCAACTGCGCTAAACAAACCCTAAATGAAAGAAATACTACCTATGGACTATCATAAAAGCTCTCTTTGTCAAAAAATATTGCAAAAGAATACTAGGTGAACCTACCTTAACAATTGTTCACATCAAAGATTGAATATCTACAGGAGTCCTTGAGTTCAATAATCCTACCAAAATCCCAGCTAAATTCATCACTCGCTTCAACACCTAAAATAAAAGTGTTCTCATGATATTGCAAGTGCTCACTTTGCCCATACGCATTCTCAAAAAAAAAAAAAAAAGGATCCAATATTAACTAAATGTTTTATGTTGGTTATCCTTCCACTTCAAAAAAAAAAAGAAAAAAAAAAGGAAAAAGTGTTATCGCCACCAAGAGATAAGAGTACACGCCCCTAGAGCTGTCAAAAAAACTTGTTCGTGCACTGCTCGTGCTCGTCTCGTTCGTTATGCGAGCCGAACACAAAAAAAAAATTTAAGCTCGAATTATAAGTGAGTCGAACACGAACAACTCTTTGTTCGCTTGTGTTCGGCTTGTATTAGCTTGAAAAAAATTATATATATTCTTTAGATAATAATATATTATCTATATTTATATCTAAGTTTAAATCATAATAGCTTGCGTGAACATATAGTTTTACGTCCTCTATTGCACAGAGTTGGTGCAAGTTCGAATACAACACACACATCTATTTTTTTCAATTAATTTTAACGACTTGAACACAAACCAATTTTGAAAATGAGCTAGTTTCAAATAGGAACAATTTCGAATGAGTCGAACACGCCGAGCTCGACCCGTTTACAGCCCTATGAATCCCCTAATGGTAATTTCAAGGAAGAGAATTTTATAATATTTGCTACTTATCCCAAAGAAGAAATAAAATTCATGAATGAAATATTTCTCTTCAATAGATTGTCCTTCTTACCCCTAACACCTACAAACAATTATACTACAAAACCAACAACTCCTAAACAAATCGTAACAGGTCACGATTGATATTCAACTAATTTGATATATAAATGGTAAAAGCATTTCAATCAAAACAAATCCAATCAACAGAATCAATCCTTCATACGGAACAAACTGAAACTTTGGAACCCACAAAAAAATAAACTTCAGTTAATTTTCTATTACACGTTCCTATCATACAAAAATTATTCGTCACCAATCCAACCTGACTAGCCACCACACTATTTGTATTGCTAAAACCATACCTAAAATTTTAAATAATGAAAATTAGAATAATATTACAAGGAAGCCCTTTAAAAGAATAAACCCTGAAAAATTATGAATTATCAAAAGGAAAAAACAAATATATAATTGATTATCTTGAAACTTTCACTCATTTTACTAAAAATAACATCAATTGAGTTATCTTATTATAAGAAGGTAGCAAGAACTAAAAATACAATTATTTGATTGAAAATGACTCTTTAAGTAATGATATATATGAAGTATATATGGAGATCACCTTCGAGTTTATCTAAGACAAAAAAATATCAATGTAAGAAAATATTAGAAAGATTGAAGCAATCTGCAGGGCATGCTTAACAGATTCAATAGGGTAACACTAAAAATGAAACACAAATAGTCTATTTGAAACAACTTTTTATCTACTTTGTTTTTCAGATCATCGTCGCAGCTTTCTTTGGAAGTTGCTTTCTTGTAGCTTTCTAAAAATTTATATAGTGAAGAACTATTTTTTCAACCTAAGTGTGAAAGTGTGATAACTGTAAGAAAACTGTTGTCTGATTTTTTAGAAAGAATATATATTTATAATTCTCATCACAGTTTTGCAAGAAATTATTTTCTACACCACAACTTTACAACCATCTTCTTAAAAAGTTGCAACCACCCCAAATAAACCCGACGTTAAGGCAACCATACATTGTTTGATCTTCAAAGGAATCCTAACACTATTAGCTTATGTTGAGGACATCTTCGTAAAAAGCAATGACTTTGAAAGTATGACAACTTTAAAAAGAGGCTTCCATAAGACTTGGCAAGCTAAAGCACATTGAATTGAGATTGCACGCTCTCAACATGAATCTTTATATCACAACAAAATTACATAATAACTTATTAAAAGAAACAAGCAAGTTAGAATACAAGCCTATCGAGAGCCCTGTGAATTTAAGCGCGAACTAAAAGATGATCCAAAATACAATCCACAAAAACCACTTGATAGAAAAAATTATCATATTATCACATGTTAGACTTAACTTACCAAAATTGTTTCTATGATAAGTCAAAAGTCACAGACAATTACAAAGAATCACACTTTAAGATTGTACATAAAATTTTAAATATACGAAAGTGACTCTTTATAAATAAGCTTCATTTAAAAGGGAATATAATTTGATAGTTGATGCTTATACCAATACCAATTATGTGGAATACATGGTTAATAACAGGTCAATTTATAAATATTGTGCATTCTTAAACTGACAATTCAGCTCTATGAGAAGTAGAAATAAAATATATTGGCAAAATCTAGCATAGTAGCAAAATTTAAATCAATGGCACTACGAAATTGTAAAATGTTATGAATAAAAATTATCCTAGAAGATTTAAAAGTTGAATGAAAATGTCCTATAAGGATGCATCATGGCAACACTTAATCCAGTGCAACTTGGCCATGCAAAATATATTGAAAAGGGCATAAATGTTATAAAAGAGAAGCTAGAAAGTAGTCTAATTTGTACTACGTTTGTTGCCACATATAGTAACTAACAGATATTCTCACCAAGTGATCATCCGAAATAATATTTTAAAAGTTGGCAAACAAACTTAGAATAAACAATGACCATTCATTCACTTAAAAAAGAGATGAAAAATCAATCTATTTGCCTTTGTTGATTTCGCCTACATCAGTAATAATTATTATCATTCTACTCATCCATTGATGGCTTTTTTATGCCAACTCAATAATTCTTGAAATTGTTAGTAACACCTCATCAATCGATGACCTCTTATAGTTAATGTAATTATTATTCTTTTACTCATCAACTGATGGCTATAATAAATATATTGTAATTATTATTCCATGATTTTGTCTGTTTCTTATTGGAGGCTCTTTTAGGATTATATAAACACTTTACAACGGACCGTGTAAAATATATTGAAATTATGTACCTTTTATAAAGTAGAAGCTAGAAAATGGTCTAATTTTTACTGCATTCATTGCACATATAGTAACTTACAAATATTATCACCAAAAGAATATTCGAAAAAATATTTTAAAAGTTGGCAAACAAACTTAGAATAAACAATGACCATTCATTCACTTAAAAAAGAGATGAAAAATCAATCTATTTGCCTTTGTTGATTTCGCCTACATCAGTAATAATTATTATCATTCTACTCATCCATTGATGGCTTTTATAAATTTGTTGTAATTATTATTCCATTATTTCGTATGTTACTTATTGGAAGCTCTTCTAGGATTATAAAAACACTTCATAACCGTTAAAATAAAATATTCAACAAATTCTCACCATTTCTTGATAGATTTTTTTACCAAAACGTGATTCAAATTTCTGGCAAAAAAAATTAGTGAGAGAATAAAATATAGCATTAAAATTCAAAATATAAAACAAACTTCTCTAGATTCGATATAACTAACTCCCAAATATAATAAAAGACATATCCTTGAGCTTAAATCTAGAAGAAATTTAAGGATTTCAAAATAAAAAAAACGAGAGAACTCATTGAAGATCACAGTGATGGTTACCTAAATCTATGGGTTGCTGCGAGTCGAAGATTCATTTAGGCTACTATCTCTTTCCTTGCTTCTCTCTTTACTCGACAAATCTATTAAAGAACAAGTTGATCAAAGTGCAAACAAGCTTTATCCGAGGTAGTTCTAATGTTCATTGAAGAACACAGTGATGGTTAACATGAATCTATGGGTTGCTGCGAGTCGAAGATTCATTTAGGCTACTATCTCTCTCCTTGGCTTCCCTCTTTACTCGACAAATCTATTAAAGAGCAAGTTGATCAAAGTGCAACCAAGCTTTATCCGAGGTAGATCTAATGTTCATCTTAATTCTCATCATAGTAAAGTAAAATTAGTCTAAATGGGGATCACAAACTCTATTTCTTAACCTAATTTGCCAAAACTCTAGCTTACCATTTAAATTTTCCACTGCAAATTTAATTAAGATTTCAATAAATATTTTTTAACTCTCCATCCATGATTAATGAAAGGTTAATCAATATTTTAAAGTTCATATTATTGGCATTCAAAATGAGAGAATAAATGCCAATATCTTTCATCTCGATTTTGAATCATTGCAGATGAGATGTAGACATGCGCCTATCAATATACTTATTAAAAGTACAAATTTAGCACTTTATGCATTCTAAATAAGTCACCCCAACAACATATATAACATGCATACAGTGACCCAATAGTGAATCCATTCCATGTTACTTAAAATAATTAATAACCATTAATTGGATTCATAAGCATGGAAAAAGAAAGAGATAATGTGAATTGGTGAAAAACAGAACTTCACATGTATCTTAGAAGTATCCATGTATCTTAGAAGTATCCATGTACTAATCCACAGAGAAATAACCTAAACAAGGACTATAGTATAAGTAGAAAATTCACCTCATTGAGAATCTTAGTTACATCCACAACATGCTCAAAATGCATAAAATACCACTATGATGCTTCCAGTCCATGACTTACAAATCTAAATATCACTAATTCAATTAATATGAGAAGAGAAAACGAAAGAGGATTACCATGTGAAAAGAATGAGAAATACCTTAATAATGCTTGGTTTAAAATTTAACATGTGAAAAAGCTAGCAATTTTGCTTGTGACAAGCAATTTTGCTTCATTAATCTAAAAGCAAAAAAAAAAAAAAAAACAGGTTTTGAGTCAAGAGTAAAAGCTAGACATACAACTCTCTAGTTAGAACAAAGCACAGAGAGATGGTTTGCATAAGAAAAAAAGACAAACTACATTAAATAAAGGGATGAAGAGAACTACGTAAGAGAAAATCTGCAAAAAGAAATATCACATCAACAAACTAAGGAAACCCCTCTTTTCATCTAAAAATAAATAAATAAATGCATTTTTATTAAAGGGTATATAGGTTGATGTTCAGCTTTTTACAAACAGAAGACATAGCAAGCAATCCTACTCAACACTTCTAAATATACTTTGGAATACTATGGGAAAGCATTCCCTTGAAAATATCCCCACAAGTATACAGTCAGAACTTCGTGCAGGGCAAAGAAAAAAATTCATCAATATCTATTATTGCATGTTTCTTTCATCAGATATATAGTCAAATATAATAAATCTAGGGGCATTTACATACATACTGTCCATTGCTTATGTATTTACATATCTAATACATAAAATTTACCTTTTACATTCATGCCACCCAAATCTTTCATATAATATTAAAAATACCACCATTTTAACTTTTACAAAGTTAAATACACCTTTTCATGCATAGATAAGGTGGAGTGAATGTAAAAATTGTAATTTAGGTATTAGTTTTGTAAATACATAAGAATTGAGTGGTATGTATGTAAATCTTCCATAAATCTGATGGATGTCATCTTTGAACAAACGAAGTGTTCACAATACCAAATTAAGATTTATCATATATCAAGTTGACAAAAAAAGTTCAGACTTCTGCAAGTCACTACAGTTGGAAACAAAAAACAAAAAGAGTTAGCAGTAAAACTAAAGTGTTAAACCCAATAATTTCATAAATAAAGTCTGCTAGCAACATTATTCCACACAATCACTTAGGTTATAATGTTAAATTGTTTCAAAAACACTTGTTTTAGAGATTATGTCAAATGAAAGTTGATTCAGCCAAAAATGCAGTTCTAGAACAAGGCATTTTGCAGTTCTAGAACAAGAAAATTAATGCCCAAGCCTTATCTTCAATTCCCCGGTTTTCCGTCCTTCTCAGAAATCTCCTCAAGCTTATTAACTTCAAACACTCCTCCAAAGCCCAAATAATTATAAGTACCTCACATGGCTTCCTCTATCCGGATAGACACAAAAGGTAGCATGAACGATGAGATGTCTACTAGCACTAAAGCTCTATTAATCACTCGTTTCATAGTGGAGATCATCATCCTCGTCTCCTCAGCAACCCCAACCCCATAAATGATTGCTCTATACTTTCCCCTGCACCGAGGAACGCTTTATGAAAAATAACGAAAAGACTAAAGAGGACGTGAAATTTCAGTTCAACATGAAACTCCATCTCAATCCAACAAGTTTGCTGATAATACCAAAAGAAAACAGAAAAGTAGAAAACGATTGAACCCTGTTAACACAAAACATAAATCCCCATCTGAAATCGGTACATTTCAGAAGCGGCAAGCGTGAGGTCAGAAGTCGTTGAACATTGATAATAAAGATAGACCATTTTCGGGAGCAATTATCCATTTAAGGGCAGCATACCTCATACTGGCGGCGGAGAGAAAAAATGGAAACCCTAGGTGAAGGAGCAAGAGCGCAGCGAAATGACAGCGGCTTTCTGCGGGTTGTCCTCTTAGCGGGTCGGAATAAATCTACCATCCTACTTATATAATGGAAATTTGCTTGCATTTCACATATTATGTATTTACATATCTAATATTTAAAATTCGATATTTATATTTTGGACTCTGTTGCCATAAATTTATGCACTAAAATATAAATTTCTTTTTTTTTAATATTAGTAATAATAATATTTTTATGTGATATTAATATTTAGAGTGTTTGTATATAAATATGATTATAAATACTTGTATATGATGCACTTGATGAACAACACAAAATGTAATTGATTAATACTCGATTATTTGATGAACAACAGTAAGTGTAACTGATTAATACCCGATTATATTTGTTCATATTAATAAAAAATAAATCTATTTATTTTCTAGAAACTTACAGAATGTTTTATTTAAATAAAATTTATAAATAGTAATATATTTGTTCATATTATTTAAATAAATTCTATAATGAATATTAATACTCGATGATTAATATTCACAGATAAAATTGTTTGTCGTTCAAAGAGGAACTATAAAATGCTCAATACTTACAGAATGTTTTATTTAAATAAAATT